ACAGATGAAGAAGATAATGAGAGAGAGAGAAGAAGATGACAGTGAAAAACTGACTAGTACGTACCCCGTGTGTGATGCACGGGACAAAGATATTAAATGAGTTATTTTCACACCCTTGTCCGTTTAAGTCTAAAATATAATAGGGTTATTATCTATTTTCTATCTTTTTTAATTAACGTTAAGTCTAAAAAACAATAGGATTATTATAAGTTTTTTTCCACATCTTTTAATCAACGTTTTTTTTTATCCAGAACATTAAATATGAGCATGTTAGGGCTAACTTGTAAAATAATTAATATATTATCTCATTAAAACATTTATACTAATAAAAATTTAATTTTAGCATATAAATTTATCTCTTGATATAAGAGAAAGTAATAGTTTTACTTATTGTTGTTCACTATATAATATTTGAATTATTATTTTATTATATAATAAAAATAAATACTGTTAAATAGTGTAGTAGAATTGTTATAAAATTATATGAATTATTTTTTTTTTATAATATGGGTTTAATATCTTTTTATGATTTGATAATATAACTATAATATATTCTTAATGATATGATAATATAAGATACGGATTTACATAATACTATGGATTTATTCCTTAATGTTAAGATATTGAATTAGGTAATATATGATTCACTAATTTGTAATCTGTCTCTTTTTATATTGAAAATAATCATGTGATTGAGTAGAGATAACAATTATCTATAAATTTCTTCATTTAAGGAATAATTTTTAAATTGGTCCAAGTGTTGAATGCAACCCGATTTTCTTGTAACTAAAATGAGAAAAGATTTTGAATTTCAAAGTTTCACTTCAAAACCACACGTAAATTTGGACTAAACTTTTTTCGTATTGAATTCATTCTGAAAAATGTAAGATTTATAAATTTATTTCATAAATTTTAGTACGTAAAATTTCGGATTAAAAATATAACGATTATAAAAAATATGAATGATTGATCTATATAAATGTAACCCTAAATTATATATAATCATTATATGTTTAGATCATTACCTAATAAATTTGAATGCAATATAATGAATCAAAAATATAATCTATGTGTAATAATAAAAAATCTAATCGATTATATATATAAAATTAGTATTTTACGATTAATCTATGTGTAATAATAAAAATCTGATTATAATGTCCCCAATCAATACCTAATAAATCAGAATGAGATTATTACGGTAAGTGAATTCATAAATTGTTTTCCTCAAAATATTTTATAATGATTATAAAATATTCTAATACCGAAATAGTAATGGCATTTAATGCTGTTGACTTTTCTGGATACTAAATGTAGTAAATAGGATCCCCTTTTATATAAGTATAGATGCAATATAATGAATCAAAAATATAATCTATGTGTAATAATAAAAAATCTAATCGATTATATATATAAAATTAGTATTTTACGATTAATCTATGTGTAATAATAAAAATCTGATTATAATGTCCCCAATCAATACCTAATAAATCAGAATGAGATTATTACGGTAAGTGAATTCATAAATTGTCTTCCTCAAAATATTTTATAATGATTATAAAATATTCTAATACCGAAATAGTAATGGCATTTAATGCTGTTGACTTTTCTGGATACTAAATGTAGAAAATAGGATCCTCTTTTATATAAGTATAGATAAGCACGGTTGAGTTAATAACTTAATTTGTGGATTCAATTATTCTTTTTATTTGATATTAACTTCCTTAAAAAATTGTTGCCAAATATATCAAACCTTAATTTGTAACTTAATGTTCTGGTACGTTTGCAAATTAAATGTATATATTTATAGTTCCTATGCAAATAAATATACATGGCTTGTAATCTATCTATATATAAAAAGGTTGTTGGTTAAATCCTTTTTGAAAACTTTTGACCAAATAAATAATACCTTTGACATTCTATTTATAGAAAGCTTGAAAACAATAATGGTGTAGTTTTTTTTACGGAAAATCACAGTTTGAATTCAAAATTAATGGTGTAGAGATAATATTGGAACAATAATCTGTGGATAACTCATGATGGAATCTGTGGATAACTAACAACTAATCTAAAAAGATTTTGATAAATCTTCATCAAATACTTATTTGATAAATCTATGGACAACTAAACTATTAATCTAAAAAGATTTTGAAATGGCTAATCTTATGTATTAATATCGCAACCCAAGGAAAAAAAAAGCATAAGTGAGTTCATTTATTTTTTTATACTAAAACAAAGAGATATTACCAAATATAATTTTTGTTTAATTTGATGTATAATATCAAATTATTCCAAATTTTAACAATGTACGCGAATATCATTTCAAATATTTAGATAATATCATTCTAACGCTCCAATCATCTAATATCGATATATTTTTTTTCACCTATTAAATTAACACTTAATTTGCCTATAAAAATAACATACACACTCTGAGTTGTTATTGTATCCCCACTCATCAAAAAATCAAGCAAAACATAAAAGAACAAATAGATATTCTGTATTGATAAGAAATCATAAGGACTCATCAAGCAAAACACCATGAAAAATCTACGCAATCCAACTCTTTTAAAAGATAAATATATCTTTTTCGAACAAAAAGATATTGAAAAATGATGTTTTTGTTATTATGAGGTATTAAATTTTATGGGTATGGAAGTCGAATTTTAGGTTGATTTGTTATAAAATCAAGGTAATATGTTTCTCAAATTTTAGCATATTTCTATAATAACTTGCCAAAAAATATTAATAATAATTTGACAAAATGGTATGTATTCCTCTTGAAAATCATAAACATCTTTGAACAAATATTGGTTGGTAAAATTTAAAAATTAACCGACAACAACTCTAGAAAATTGTGAGATAATATGTATATAAGGGAATTTATATATAAGATATATATATATATATATATATATATATATATAAGGAAATTTATCGTATAGTTCAAATTTGGGTTTCAAATTCAAAAGTCAAATAAATAATTATTCATAACTTACGTGTCAATATTAACTTAGGCATAAATGAAATAGTCAATTAATTATAGTTTAATAAATTACTCAACAACTTAAAAATTTTTATTTTGATAATTTATACAAAATTAAATTCATTTTAATTAATGAACACTATAAGTTTTATAATTGTACTTATTATTCACATAGATTTTTAAATATATAATAAAATTTTACCAAAAGAATTATTTTATGGAATCACATTGTAGTCCAATCGAATTTCTGAATAAATATTTTAAAATGACACTTATTTTGAAATAAATATAATATAATTTATTATCAGTTAAGTGCACCATACGGGTTGTATACTAATTAAATTGACATGTTTTATGTAATTTTGCACAATATAAAATTTATGTAAAATTTTCAATAAATTAATATAGGTAAATGTATTACATATTGATTCAATATTTTTAATTTATAAATATTATCTAATAATCATTTTTAATTTATAAATACTAATAAATATCTCTTACCCGCACATCGCACGTGATTCGTACTAGTTATGTAATAAAGTATGTAATGTAAAGTGCATTAGGTAATTTCTTCCATCATTTTTCCCCCAAAGAATTGGACAATTGGTTAGAGAAAATTACCTCATTCACTTATAATTTTTTTTTTTTTTTTTATTTGTACATTTGTAAAGTTTTCCTTTTATTTTAAATTACTAATTTTCACTATTTTATGATGATTGATTTGCAATTCTATTATTGAAAATTGCATTGGTTTTTAGTTTATAATTTTTTATGAATGATTATGTATGATTTTATTTTCGATGTTGTAGTTTTACAAAAAAAATTCAAAACTGTATACACGTAAAAACTCACTTAACTATACAGCTTCCTAGCCAATTGATAATGTTTTTTTAATAAATACATATTTTTGTAAAACTTTTTATAAATTATGAAATATGTCTACGTAATGGAGTAGACGAATTTATGTTTTTGGTATAAGATAACTATTTTTTTTTATCAAACAATAACCTATTACTATATATAAGTATACGTACTTTTTCAAACTTAGATGTGACATTCGTCATATTTACATGCATTTTTAGTTATTTATTGCTACATAGTCGCATTTTATGGTTGAATTGTGCACCTTTTGATTCGATTTGTCAAATATTTGGAGTTGTTCTTGTCGTTGGTCTTATAGAATAAAATGCCCTAAAACCCATTACAAATATAGCTGAGATGAAAAACGACTAGATCCAGGTGCAAGATACCTCACACGACTCGTGTAATGTAAGGGTACAATGCCACATGTTGTTGTTCTTTTTACCAGAGTTAATCTAAAATGATCAGTCCTCAGGTCGTATCTCAAGGAAGGCTAGTCGGAATAAATGACACGCTTGTTCTAACCAATAAAATCAAATTAAATCCTACACACTCTAATTCAGATTGGTCGAGTCTTGTTCTAGCAACTAAAGATTTGAAATACAAAATAAACAACTAAATTTTCAGCTCACAAACGACTAAGAGATATTGATAGAGAACCTAGGAAATTAAGGATACTCGTTTCCAGCTCTAGACGCAAATACCAAACATTTGATTATTCGGTTAAATGGTTCTACTAATTTATCTAGAGATTTATCCCCAATAATTATCTGTAACATGAGAGCAAATATAAATGAAATATTTGTCAAATCAGATAACACATTTACAATATAATTACGAAAAGGCCTACCCTATACATGCCTATGTCAAATAACTCCTCCCCTTCGGTTTCTAAAAACTATTTATCTAGATTAAACATGATCAATCGACTAGCCCTACGATTCAAACAACTCGCACAAATTGAACAATTCAATATATTGATAAGAACAATTATCTCAAAATTAGGGTTTGTTTCTCTCTCTGGAAATTTCTAGTTTCTCTTTAGGATTTGGTTCTTCTATCTTGCTGTTAGGGTTAGATCCTTTTGGCTAGATGGTAGGAGAGTGTGTGGGTGGGAGAGTTTCATTCGATTTTCCTTTCAGTCCTGTCTGTTTTTCCCATTTAGTGTTTGCTTCGTAACCTGGTATATTATTTGGATTTGTCTGTTTCTTTTCTTCTGTTTTTCTTCGATAATCAGTGCAGGTAGGGTTGCTTATTGGGGGTTCCAGTATGGAAGACGACGTAGTTCAAAAGTTAAAATCATTTGCTCTTTCAGATCGAGAAGTTCAAGGAGTTACTTTGTCTAATGACGATGTCGCTGCCGGAGTGCAAGATTGCCAACTGAGTCTGTTGGGGATAATCTATGGCAACAAGAAGATTAATTTAAGTGGGTTTAAAGCGACAATCGGAGGGATCTGGGTGACAAGGTTGCCCTTCTCGATTCGCAATCTCGGAGATAATAGTTTCCAGTTTATCTTCCAATGCTCGGAGGATAAGGAGAAGATTCTTCACGATAAAACCTAGAATTTTGATGGCTACTATTTGCTCTCGAAACCTTGGGATTCAAAGACACCAGACTTCTCGGAGGACGATGAAAAAATCAAACTATGGGTTCAAGTTACAAACTTACCACTTCACTGGATATCTACGGAGGTGGGTTGGAAGATAGGTAGCTTAATTGGGCAGGTGTTAGATGTTGTGGTGCCAGGGTTGAGCAGTGGTAATGGGAGGATGCTGCAGTTGCTGGTTGAGTTTAAACTCAAAGATCCCCTTCTGAGAGATTCAAACATTAGGCTGGGTCAAGCATCTCAATGGGTTATTTTCAGGTATGAAAGCCTTCAAGTCTTTTTCTTTTATTGTGGAAGGATAGGACATCTAGAAAGAAACTGTGGTTGTAAGAGAGAAGATGTGAAGGGTAATAAGATTAAACTAGGGCAATTTGGAGACTGGTTGAGAGCCCCTATCATTAGCCACTTAGAGTTCAGAGGGTCTAAACCTAGTTCAGGGGGTAGTGTTCCCTCCGAGGAGAGAGGTCTAGATAGTTCCCCTGTGCTCAAAGTGAGCAGTGTGGTAGGAGGTAAATCTGCTAGCTCTTCTGCAGAAGTAGGATTGAATTCAGAGGGTGAAAATTTAACTTCCCTAGCTGGTAACATAGTGAGTGAGCCTGTTGGTCAATTAAAAAGGAAAGTAGTGGAATCTCAAAACTCTAAACCAGAGCTCCCTGAGATAAACACTAATGTGGGCAGCTCCCAAGATCTTGTGGAGGTGAATGTTTTGAATGCTGAAGGAGGAAAGTATCCTCTCAGGAAACAAAGGGGCTCTGTTAGACAACCTAGGCAGGTTAAACCTTTCAAGCCAGAGGGAATGCAAATAGATAAAGCTGTGGAAGAGGGCAGTAAGCCAGAAGGGCTTGTAGGCATTAAAAGGAGTCTGATAAATCAGGAGAGTCTTATAGTTGAGGATAGCTCAATTCTTACCAAGAAACCTAGGAAAGATGAGAAAAACAAGTCTGTGGTGGTGGAGGAGGCCAACCTTAACTGGCCCCCCACCCCCCAATGGAAGTATGTGTGTGGAACTGTAGAGGTCTGGGGGACCCTCTACAATTTCCCAAATCAGAGTGGTTCTTAAATCTCACCTCCCAGATTTTCTATTCCATTATGAAACTAAAAAGAAATCTAGTTTTGTCAAAACGGTTTGTAAAAGGTTGCATTTAGTAGATAGGTGGGTGTGTTTTGATCCAGTGGGGACTAGAGGGGGTCTTTTCCTTTACTGGTCCCTTAATGTAGATATTTTGGAAGTTAACTGTTTGGATTTTTGTTTTCAAGTTAAGTTTAAGTTTAAAAATGATGGTTTTGTTCAATGGGCTATATTTCTGTATGCTAGTACTAATAATATGTTCAGACAGATGCAATGGACTTTCTTAATTAGACATCAACTGAGTTGGGGGGATATGTGGGTCTTGAGGAAAGATTTCAATGATCTTTTGTCTAATTCTGATAAGAGTGGAGGTATAGTTAGGTCTGAGTCTAGTTTTGAGAGTTTTATGGGATTTGTGAGGGATCTGTGTGGAGTTGAACCCAAGGTTGTAGGTCATCCCTACACCTGGTCTAACAATAGAAAGGGTAGATTTTGTTGAGGAGAAGTTAGATAGGTTCTTTCTCTCTCCTCAATGGGCTGACCAGTTTCCAAATGCAATAGTTAGTCATATTCCCCTCACATCTTCATACCACAGTTTATTGGTGTTAGACCAGGATCCTAAGGTGGAGAAAGGGCAAAAAAGATTCACATTTGATTCTAGATGGATAACAATGGAAGGGTATCACAGAGTGGTGGAGGAGGCTTGGCAAAGAGAGGTGGAGGGACCTAAGTTGTACAATTTACAACAGAGAATGAGGAATGTTAGAGTAGCATTATTGCAGTGGAAAGCTACACTGAAAACCAATTCTGTTGTTCTCATTCAGGAATGCAAGGATACAGTTAGTGCTCTTCAAACTTAAGGAGGATCTAGAGACTGGGATGAATGGTACAGCTGCAAAGACAGGTTAAACAAGGCATACGGAGATGAAGAGCTATACTGGCTTCAGAAATCTAGAGTGCTCTGGTTAAAAAAAGGGGACAGGAATACTAAGTTTTTCCAGGCAGCTGTTAAACAAAGAAGGATTAGAAACAGCCTAGATAACTTGGTTAATTCTGCATGTGTGAGGTGTGCTAATAGCAAGGAGGTGGGAAAGGAAGTCGTGGGATATTTTGATAACCTTTTAGAACATCTAGCCCTGAGGTTGAGAGGTACAGTTTGGAAGGGATTCAGGTTTCAATTACTCAAGAAATGAATGCTCAGCTTACAAGGGCAGTGACAGAAGAGGAGATCAAGGCAGCTCTTATGGATATGGACCCCAATACAGCACCTGGTGTTGATGGTATGGCCCCAATTTTTTTTTAAAAATCTTGGTCTTATCTGAAAACTGAACTATGTGCTGCTGTCCATAATTTTTTTGTTTCAGGCAGAATGCCAAAAGCCACAAATCACACAGTTATAACCCTTATTCCCAAAACCAAAAATGCATCTAAAATCACTGAATTAAGACCCATAACTTTATGCACAGTCACATACAAAATCATAGCCAAAATCCTTGCAAATAGAATTAAGCCCCTTTTGCATCACTGTATTTCATCAACTCAATCAACTTTCATTCCTAACAGACAAATATTGGATAATGTAATCATGGCTTTTGAATGCATTCACTTTCTTAATGGCAAAAGAAAAGGTAAATATCAGTTCATGGCTGTTAAGCTAGATATGTCAAAAGCTTATGATAGGGTAAAATGGGCCTTCTTGGTTAAAGTCTGTAAAAAAATGGGTTTTTGTGATCAGTTTGTTGCTTGGATTATGACATGTGTGAGTAGCTCTTCTTTTTCTTTGAACATTAATGGTCAAGTTTGTGGGTCAATTATTCTTTCTAGGGGGTTGAGACAAGGGGATCCTTTGTCCCCTTATCTGTTTATCCTCTTATCTGAAGCCTTCTCTAATTCTTTATATCAGTCAAGGCAGAGAGGTGAGTTTCAAGATCTTAAGATTAGCAAAAATTGTCCTGTCATCACTTATCTATTTTTTTGCAGATGATGTGCTTATCTTTGGGAAGGCTTCTGTCCTTCAAGCTCAAATCTTACTGAATATCCTTAAAGATTATGAACAGACTTCTGGCCAACTAGTCAATTTACAAAAGTCTGCAGTGTTTTTCTCTAAAAATTCTGATGATAGGCTTAGGGCTGGAGTCTGTCACCCTTGGGAGTATGGCTAGTGTGTCAACAACAAGATATTTAGGCCTTCCCTTAGGACTAGGGAGATCCAAGAGAGAAACATTTAGATTTGTGAGTGAGGCAGTGATGAATAAAATCAGATCATGGAAAAACAATTTTTTGAGTGATGCGGGTAGAGAGGTACTTGTGAAAACTGTTCTTAATTCATTGCCGGTTTATGCCATGGTATGTTTTGAAATACCAGCCACAGTCTGCAAAGATATCTGTCGATCAATAGCATCTTTCTGGTGGGGTGTTAAAGAAGGAGGAGGGGATAGAATTCACTGGTCCTGTTGGAAGGTTTTGGAAAAAGAAAAGGAGGCAAGGGGATTAGGATTTAGAGATCTGGAGGCGTTTAATGAGGCACTAATAGTAAAACAGCTTTGGAGATTACTTACCAATCCTAACTTACTAGTTAGTAAGTTTATGAGAGGTAGGTATTTCCATAACACTAATATTTTTGAAGTGCATAAAAAGCAAGGAGATTCCTGGCTATGGAAGGGGTGGTTAGGAGCAAGATAGGCTTTGTTAAGGGGTCTAAGGTATCAGGTGGGAGATGGTACTACAATTGATATTTGGAGCTCCCCTTGGATCCCTAATAATCCTACTTTTAAACCCTCTTGTGTGTTTCCAGATGATAGAATGAAGCTGAAGCATCTAAGTGATCTTTTTGTAGCAGGGGCCAGGAAATGGGACATAGAACTTATAGAAAAGACTTTTAACCCACACGATGCGCAATCCATGCTAAAAATCCCACTCAGTCAGACACAGACCAGAGATAGATTGTGGTGGCATTTTAATCCAAAAGGTAAGTACTCTGTCAAATCTGCATATGAGCATATTGTGAGTCATAAACAAAGTGCAGAGAGTCAGGCTTTAATAAGCAATGATGGTGAGAACCTGAAAAGAATGTGGAATAGGACTTGGAAACTGGCAATACATCCTAAGTTGAAAAACTTAGTTTGGAGACTTTATCATGGTTTTCTAGGGACTAAAATAACTCTAAGAGGCAGGGGCATGCAGGTGGACCCCATTTGTCAACTTTGTGGTGAGCAACAAGAAGATGCAGAACATATATTTTATCAATGCCCAAAATCAGCCAATTGTTGGAAATTACTGTGTCTTGAATGGAATGCTTTACATGGTAGGACAAGTACTATGCAGAGCAGGTGGGAAGAGATTTGTGGTAGTCATAGATTTGGTAAAATTCATCAGAGAATCATCTTATCAGTGTGTTTGCTGTGGAGAATTTGGAAGGCCAGGAACAACATGGTGTTCAGTTAGAAGATGTTTAATGAATTGGAGATTACTAAAGGGGCAAGGAGAGACTGGATGGAAATGCTGCAGGATGAGGAGACTGAAACTAATCTGAGACATGAATGTTGCATTGAGCAGGAAGGAGAATAGTTTTCCCCGGGGTAGAGCTTGTTTCTGTATAGGCCAGTGCCCTACGTTCACCTGAAGGCAAAGTGGAACTCTCTAGAGCAGCATGGAAGGAAGGTGTACAAATACACTCTTGGCAGACTTGGGTGGCATGGACAGGACAACCTGGAGATGCTACTCTTTTAGTAGTCAGAAGAGCTCTTGAGGAGGCCAAGATCAAAGGATGGACAGAGGTACAATGTAAGATTTCAGATAATGATCTGGTCCAAAATCTTAATGACAATAGCTTCTTCACTTCTTCTCTGGCCGGGGTTGTAAAAGATGTTCAAGATTTGCAGCAAAATTTTAGTAGCTGTGTATTTTCCTTTTCTGTTTAGTTGTTTGTTGTAGGGGACCGTGTTGGTCGTTCATTGAAGTTGAAGTTTTTACCGGAGTAGAATCAAATGATTCGAACACCGGGTCGTGTTCTCAAGGAAGGTTAGCCGGATACAATCGCACAATATTCAATCTCACGGAAATATAAATTACACCTAAACACTCTAATCCAAATTTTCAAGGGTTTTTGATATTGACGAGAAAAATAACTACTAACGAGATTAACACTAATAACGCAAATGGACAATTTAAACACAAGTACGGTTCAACGATGACGAACGAGCTAGGGTATCGGGGATAATCGTCTCCGGTTCGATCTCACTTCAATAACATATAGATACTCGGTTAAAAGCCTCGACTCATATACTCATTTAACATTATAATCATCATAGCATTTCGCGGTAGATAAATTACACATAAACGAGCAATCAACCTCAACAAATAACACATAGACAACACGTTTCCGGTTATGCCTACTCTAAACGAGCCAAGTTCCACCGACTTCTCCCCTCTCGGTTTTGAAGTCGATTAACTCGATTGCAGTGGTGATCAAGCATTCAATCATTATTATTAATAAAACTCGAAAAGATTGAGTACACTACAAACATATCAACGAGATTAAACCGGAACAATTATCCCCTTCCCCTAGCAATTAACTTAGCTACTCATGGCAAGATAAACACAAGAATTCAACATACCACAAGCATTCATTCTCACAGCAAAAAAAATGAAAGGAAAACTTACTAGGAATTTGAATTCAATGTCTTACACTTCAAACCAAATCAATGCCAACAAGTCTCCAAGTTTGTCTCCTCAAAAATACATGAAAATCTCCAAGGAAAATTACAATGAACCAAACAAAATGTAGAGAGAAGTTAGAGAGAAGGTAGAGAGAAAGTGAGGTGAAGATGAAGAAGATGGTGATCTCCCCCATCTTTGTGATATTCCCCCTCAAAAACACTATTGGGAACTTCCAAGGGGACCAGGAATGTGAGTCGACTTCTTGCAGTTTTGTTCTCCGCGGCCGCGGCGAAGGAATGTTCGCGGCCGCGACTCGACCTTCCGCGGCCGCGACTTGGTGATTCGCGGCCGCGACTTTGCGCTGCAGTCCAGGTTTTCCTCCCGTGCGTTTTTGGTCCCGTTTTTCACTTCCTTCTTCCGATTTCAGCCTCCTCACACGGGCGCTAACTCCTTCCACTGGGAAGTCAAGTACCCCATCGAACCTACACACCACAATATGCACGAAAAACACGAAGAAAGAGAAAAATAGACAGGAAAACAAACCAAATAACGGACAAACCAAAAACTAACGAAACGGACTCAATACTAAATAAAACGAACCTAAAAGATGGAGGAATAGACATAAAATGACCCTAGAAAACATAACAAAAATGGAACGAACAACTCCCCCACACTAAGACCTTTGTTCGTCCCGAACAAAGAGAAACGAAAAGAAAGAAAACAAGAACATCCAACATGTACCAAAGTTCAAGCAACGCAAGCATCAAATCGATCAATCAAGTCAAGTAGAATTCCGATGATCTCGAGAACATCTCTCAAATGATGACTCGGCATTTTGACTGACAAACACTCAAAAATGGATATATGATCAATGAGCCTCACTCAAGTATCTTGCAATTGATTAAAGAGAAGGTACACTCAAATTGGTCGCAATCCAATCAATCATATGCTTGCCTATCCTCTAATTTTTACTCTGGAACAATTTAATTGCGAATAAGTGAATCAAGAGGGCTTAAGGGATATAATGAAGGCCTTTTGGAATAGGTAAGGATCGCATAGGCCAAGTGACTACGCATACACATATATATATCAACTCAAAACATCACCAACCCGAAAGCATGAACTCCACCCGTTATCCTCCAAGGCTATCATTATTCCACATTATTCACACTTTTTTCAATCACCAAGATAAGTTACACAAGATCATCATCACAACTTCTCATACTCAATCAAACAAACATCAACAAGCCTTGCAATCCCCAAGGTACATGCACGAAACACACAAAGACTCAACTAGACTAAACACATCACATAAACCAAACAAGCAAAGCTCCCCCACACTAAAAACCGGACAATGTCCTCATTGTCAAATTGATAGAATGAGAGAGAGACAAGCACGTAAGAAAAGATAAGAGAAATTAATAACTAACTCAACATCCACAATACTACACAAGGGCAAGAGAAAAACAATGGACTCAAAGTCTACGAAAAAGCAACATAAAAGAGAGAAAGAGAACAGGAAAAACGTACAACGCATAGTGACAAGTCACTATGCATGTGGTGGTGGCTGAGGGGGATGGCCATAGCTGCCCGGCCCCTGATGCGGGTCCCACTGGGTGAACATCCGATCCCAGCTATCCATGCGAGCATCCTGCTGGTCCTGGCGGTCGCGAATAGAACGAAGTCCGCCATCCACGTCATCGAAACGGGTGCTCGTCTGGGTCCAGTGGTCCCGCTGCTGAGTCTGCCACTGGTCCCACTGGGTCGTCTGCTGGGTCTGCCAGTGGTCCCACTGCTCCCGCTGTCGGCTCTCGAAAGTGGCAAACCGAGTATCCTGGGCATCAAATCTGTCGTGGATGGAACGAATGTCCGCCCGGTACTCGGTCTGGAAAGATGTCCACCAGGCCGGGGGGTGTGGCGGCGGCATCTCGTGTTGTGGGTCCGGGGCGGGGATCCAGTGTTCGGGAGGCGGGAGGAGATGATCTTCATCCACGAGCATCCTCTCATGCTCGTCTGTGTCAGTCGGTTGGCGGGACGATCCGGGTCGATCAGTAGTAGGGACACTCTGCCCAAGCCGCTGAAAGTAAGACGTGAAGGCCTGACGACTCATATATGGCTGGGCTGTGGTCCGGGTTTTGATGAGGTCGGCATTTTTGAGCTCGGCGAAGTTGATGCATCGCATCGTAGACTTGTCCTCGTGATAGATGATGTCGTGAAGGTTGTACGGCTCTGGGTCGACTCCGAAATGGCGGGCGAGTGCGGTGACAAAGTGCCCCAATGCCGGAATGCCACGTCGGCTGAGTGCCACTTCCTGAAGAGAGTTCTGGAAGAAGGTCATGGAGCATACTCGCACGCCCGCCCGCATCGCCCAGAGGAGAAAAAGCTCGGTCTCGCTTATCTTGTTCGCCTCCTTCTTTCCGGTGATGTTGTAGCCGATGAACCGGTGGACCACGGCCGTGGCCAAATCCTGGATGAGCCCATTCGACATCCCGCCGGAATCCCATTTGGTATGCGGGGAAAGCTCGGCCCAACACGCCTTAGCGTCGAAATCCGGGGCTTTGTTACGGGTACCTTCGAAGGTGAACCCGCACACCCGCTCCATGACGTCGTTGTCGACAACGTACTCCTTCCCCTTGAGCCGACAAGTAAAGAACTCGTTCCCGTCGGCGAGAACAAATGAGCTGAAAAACTCGAGCATGATGCTCCGGAAGGATGGCTCCTCGATCTTGGCGTAGTCGATGAGGTTAAGGACCCGTAAGTACTTCAGCACGTCGTCGAGGATGCCTAAGTCGTTCAGGAGGTCCCAATCGATCGCCTTCGGTCGCACAACCTCCTTCTGCGAGAGACGGGCATAAACCTCGCCCTCCTTCCGAGAATAGATCGGAAAAGGAGCGCCGTATTGGTCCGATAAGTCGTCTCGGTCGACCTCCGAAGGGGCATCACGAGCGGAAGACTCGCCCGCTCGGCGCTTCTTGGTCGGCTCTTGTGCGGTTTTCTTCTTGGTGGGACGAAACGGATTTTTCCTCATTGAATTGTCTTTCAGGCAATACGTCGAACACTTGGTGTGCGGAACTTTGAACTAAACACGTGTGCACAACTTGGAATGATTTGAACCTGGAGTCGGCCTCCTCACGCCACACAACCAATCAAGTGAGAATGAGAGGCAGCAATTGGTACCTTTTTCACTAAAAATCAGCCGGAAATCGAACACCACGTGGCCAAAGAAAATATGCTCGGGTCGGTTGGAGAACACGGGTGAATGCCGGAATTTTGTGTGCGTTCACGGCGGGGAAGTGGAGTTTGAGGTCGCCGCCTTGGTGAGTCGCCGGAGTGCGATGTCGCCGGAGTGGAAGGTCGGAGGTGGTCGCAAATTGACGGCTAGGTTTGGGAGGTTGGGAGGTGTCGAACGTAGGGGATGTGCACGGTTGAGGGGCGTCGCCGGAAATTGGTAGCCGGAGGTGGTGGTCGGAAGTGGTGGTCGGGAGTGGCTGCTCGAAAATTGTGATGGGATGATGTCGAGAGAAACGAAGAGAGAAACTGCTCGAAAAACTGACGAAGGGGGCCCTTTATTTTCGTTCGTCGCGTACGTCGCGGCCGCGACAAGATGCCCCGCGGCCGCGAGTTTTTGAGCCAGGAATGGACGCCAAAAATTCGGGATTTGATCGCCGCGGCCGCGGCGAGTAAACGTCTCGCGGCCGCGACATGGTTCCGCGGCCGCGACCTCATCCCGCGGCCGCGAATTTTTGGAGCAGAAATGGGCACCAAGTCTTCGAGGTATGGTCGCCGCGGCCGTGGCGAGGAAACGCCTCGCGGCCGTGACTTTATCCCGCGGCCGCGAGTATTTTCTCCGCGGCCGCGACGTTCTCTCTTTTTTTTTTTTTTTTTTTTTTTTTTTTTTTAATATATATATAAAGATATGTACAAAAATGCTCGGTTTATTGCCGGGAGCTCGGCATACTCGCGATCAACGATAGAGCGGTTCGTCGAGATCGACGGTCTCGACGTGTTGTTTTCTGATGTATCCTCCGAGGTATGGTTTGACTCGTTGTCCGTTAACAATAAAAACCTCTCCGGTAGATGGGTTCCGAAGGCGAACCGCTCCGAAAGACATAACTTCCTCAACAATGAACGGACCACTCCACCGAGATTTTAGCTTTCCCGGGAATAGTCGGAGTCGGGAGTTAAAAAGAAGGACTTGCATACCCGGCATCAATTCTTTTCGGACAATTCAAGCATCATGGAGTCGTTTGGTCTTGTCCTTATATAACTTGGAATTTTCGTACGCCTCATTTCTCAATTCTTCAAGCTCCGAGAGTTGTAGCGTTCGCTCCTTGCCCGCCGCATCGAGATCGAAATTCATCTTCTTGATTGCCCAAAACGCCTTGTGCTCAATCTCAACCGGAAGGTGACAAGCTTTCCCGTAGACGAGTCGAAACGGGCTCATCCCCAATACTCCTTTGAAAGCTGTTCGTTGGGCCCATAATGCATCATCAAGTCGACTCGACCAATCCTTTCGAGACGCGCTCACCGTCTTCTCGAGAATCGTCTTGATTTGCTTATTACTTGTCTCCGCTTGGCCCGAAGTTTGGGGATGGTATGGAGTAGCCACCTTGTGCGAAATCCCGTACTTTTTCATCAACTTTTCGAACAACCGATTGCAAAAATGCTTGCCCCCATCGCTCACAATGGCTCGCGGAAATCCAAACCTGCTCAAAATGTGTCCTCGCAAAAACTTAATCACGACATTAGCATCACATGTCCGAGTGGGGATAGCCTCGACCCACTTGGACACGTAATCTACGGCGAGGAGAATATATTCGAAACCAAACGATTTGGGAAATGGTCCCATGAAATCAATGCCCCACACATCAAAAATCTCAACTTGTAAATTATTCACAAGGGGCATTTCATTTCTAGAACTAATGTTCCCAATTCGTTGGCATCGATCGCAAGATTTAGCAAAAATGTGAGCATCCTTAAAGAGAGTTGGCCAAAATAAACCCGATTGGAGTACCTTAAAGGCGGTCTTTCGACCACCGAAGTGTCCTCCGCAATGAAGCTCATGGCAAAAGGCAAGTACGCTCGGTTGCTCATCTTCGGGTACACATCTCCGAAGAATCTCATCCTTCCCTAACTTGAAGAGAAACGGGTCGTCCCAAAAATATTCCCTGCACTTCGACACAAAACGCTTCCTCTCTTGGGGAGAGAGGTTAGGCAACAAAATTCCGTCCGACAAATAATTTACAATGTCCGCATACCAAGGGATGTTAGTCACTTCATTTGCATTTTCATAAGGAAATTTATCATCAATATCGAATGGTTCATGCAAGATGAGTGAATGCTCGTTATGAACAATGCGCGACAAATGATCGGCTACGACGTTCTCACAACCTTTCCTATCCCTAATCTCGACGTCAAATTCTTGTAATAGCAAAATCCAACGAATGAGTCTCGGTTTCGATTGAGTCTTACTCAAAAGATACCGGAGAGCCGCATGGTCCGAATGGACAATTACTTTAGACCCCAAGATGTAGGATCTAAATTTTTCGAGTGAAAAAATTACGGCTAAAAACTCTTTCTCGGTCGTGGTATAGTTCAATTGGGCACCGTTAAGGGTCAAGCTAGCATAATAAATCATTCGAAGCAATTTATCAACTCTTTGTCCCAAAACGGCCCCAACCGCAAGATTTGACGCATCACACATAATTTCGAAAGGTAATGACCAATCGGGAGCAACAACAATGGGTGCGGTCACAAGCTTATTTTTCAATGTAGCAAAGGCATCTAAACATGCATCATCAAACATAAACGGCACATCGTTAGCAAGCAAGTGACACAAAGGTTGGCTAATTTTCGAAAAGTCCTTGATGAAACGTCTATAAAAACCGGCATGACCTAAAAAGCTTCTAATTCCCTTCACATTTGTAGGCGGGGGAAGTTTTTCAATCACATCAATTTTCGCCTTATCTACTTCAATCCCCCGACTTGACACAATATGACCCAACACAACACCACTTCGGACCATAAAATGACTCTTCTCCCAACTCAAGGTTAAATTCGATTCTATGCAACACTCAAGGACACGAGATAAATTATGGAGACATGTAGAAAATGAATCACCAAAGATAGAAAAGTCGTCCATAAATACCTGTAAGCAATCCTCGAGCATGTCGGAGAAGATGGAGAACATACACCTCTGGAAGGTCCCGGGTGCATTGCAAAGTCCGAATGGCATTCGTCGGAAAGCAAATGTGCCGAAAGGGCACGTGAAGGTAGTCTTCGGTTGGTCTTCGGGTGCGATGGCTACTTGGTAGTAGCCCGAGAGTCCGTCTAAGAAGCAATAGAATTGGTGGCCCGAGAGACGGTCGAGGATTTGATCAATGAACGGCAACGGAAAATGGTCTTTCTTTGTGACGGCATTTAGTCGCCGGTAGTCTATGCACATTCTCCACCCGGTAGTGATGCGGGTGGGGATCAACTCCTTCTTGTCGTTTTCGATCACGGTAATGCCCCCCTTCTTGGGTACCACATGAATCGGACTCACCCATTCGCTATCGGCAACCGGAAAAATAAGCCCCTCGGAATAGAGCTTTAGCACTTCCTTCTTCACAACTTCCATCATGTTCGGGTTAAGCCGTCGTTGGCTATCCCGAAATGGCTTGGCCCCGTCTTCTAAAACGATCCGGTGCATGCATGTGGAAGGGCTAATTCCCTTGAGGTCTCCAAGGCTCCACCCAATAGCTCTTTGATTCTTCTTAAGCACCTCAATGAGCTCATTCTCCTCGTCGCGGTTAAGCTCGGCAAATATGATGACCGGTTTGAGCTTCTCTTCGTCTAGGAATACGTACTTGAGGTGTCGCGGTAGTTCCTTAAGCTCCAAGGGTGGTTCTTGTGTTCGTGGTTGGTCGGCTTCAAATAGGTCAACGGTCGATTCTTCTTCCTCGTCTAGGTCGGGCGTGGTCCTCTCCTCAAGGTGTCGGGTGGTCATCTCTTCAACAATCGGGTCCAACATGTCAATAAACGCACACTCCTCAATGAAGTTCGCCGAAGGTGCCGAGGTGGCATTTCGAACGGAAATCGACACGGTCTCTCCCAAAACCGTCATCATCAAGGTCCCATTCTTCACGTCTATAAGGGTGTTGGTGGTGGCCATGAATGGTCTCCCGAGCAAAATGGTGTGGTCCTTCCCGTTCTCATGCACGTCCCCCACATCTAGAATGACGAAGTCGACGGGAACAATGAGCGTCCCTACTCGAACAAGAACATCCTCTACCACTCCTTTGGGGTAACGAACCGATCGGTCGGCAAGTTGGAGGCACATGCGGGTTGGCCTCAAGTCCCCGAGGCCAAGTCTTTGGAATATCGAGAACGGCATAAGATTGATCCCCGCCCCGAGGTCAAGCATCCCCGAAGCTTCTTTCCCATTTCCTAAGGCGATCTTGATAATGAAACCACCGGGATCACGTTCCTTCCTCGGAAGGTCTTGATGCATAGCACTCGCCGCCTCGTACACCACAACCTTTTCCCCTTCCCCGAACTTCCGTTTCTTCGTCACCAACTCCTTGAAAAATTTCACGTACGATGGCATGGTTTTAATCACATCAAGGAGGGGTAGGTTGACATTGACCTTCGATAGCATATCGTAGAGGTCCCGAAATTGTTTCTCCTTCTTGTCATCCCGAAGGCGGCTTGGGAAAGGAATGCGGGGTTTGTATGGATTCGGAGACTTGTGTAGAATCGGGTCCTCCGTTGGCTTCGTCGGGCTCTTCTCCTTATCATCGATCACGTCCCCGGTTTGGTCGGTTGGCCTTATGTCATCCGCTTCGGGCATCTCCACATGGTTGTCGACGACTTTCCCACTCCTCAATACCGTAATAGCCTTAGCTTGTTCGGGTTGGCTAGGGAGTTTCTTCTTGTCGGACTCAGCCTCCAAATTTCTAACTCTCGTGGCGAGTTGGCCTATTTGCGTCTCTAACCGCTTGATAGTCGATTCGGTGTTCGTCATGAATTGGAGGATCCGGTCGAGTTTGTCGTCTTGGGCGGAAGAGCTCGGGTCGGCACCTTGAGCTTGCGTACCTACCATTGGGGCCCGTTGCGGTTGTTGTTGTTGATGGAAGTTGGGTCTTATGTGTTGTTGGGGTGCAAAGTTGGTGCGGTTCGGTTGCATGAAGTGCGGCCGGGGTTGTTGAGTGTGTTGTTGCACGTTGTTGTTGTTGGACCACGAAAAGTTGGGGTGATTTCTCCACCCCGGGTTGAATGTGTTCGAGTATGGGTCGTTTATCGGTCGGTTTTGGTATCCTTGGAGAGCATTGGCATCTTCGTATTGCTCCCCGAAGTCTTGGTCAAAAGCGGAAGGACACACTTGCGATCGGTGCCCTTGAACACCGCACGTCCCACATGTCTCTATAGCCATGGTTTGTGCCGGTTGGACTCCTCTCGCATTAAGAATTCTCATTTGCTCCGCAAGCTCGGCTATTTGATGGGCGATCATGTCTTGGCCGGGAGCGACCTCATTCACCATTGCCCTCTTCCCTCGACTACTCTTTTGCGACGAATTTGCGCTCATCGTCTCGAAAATCTCCATCATCTCTTCGGCCGTTTTCGCCCCCACATCTCCTCCGGCTGCATTGTCCACCATATATTGGAGATTTTGGTGGAGAGAGTCGTAGAAGCTGTTCATCAATAAGGCTGGCGGAAAATTGTGGTGGGGACATTGTCGTTGGAGATCCTTGAATCGTTCCCACGCCTCGTGAAGAGGCTCGTTCGGTTGTTGGGCGAAAGAGACGATTTGGGACCTCAACTCTTGCGTCTTTTGATGAGAGTAGTATCTCCCGATGAACTTCGAGTACACTTGCTCCCAATTAGTAAGGGAGTCGGGGGCAAGTGTCATGAACCAAGCTTTGGCTCGATCCTTAAGTGTCTCCGGGAAACACCGCATCTTCAATTGGTCCTCGTTCAATCCGTGGAGTGGAAAGGTTTGGAGCACATTGTAGAACTCCCGGATGAAGTGGAGTGGGTCCTCATTTGGAAGGCCGTGGAAAGAAGGTAATTGGTTGTAGTGGATTGTTTTAAGTTCGTAGTTCCGGGCCGCCGGTCCGAGCCGAATACAAGATGTCACCGGCCCGATCATCGGTTGAGCAAAGTCTCGAAGAAGGTATCGTGGGGGGTTGTTCACCTCCGCTTCCTCTTGACGGGCCATGCTTCCTTGCTTGGTCGAGTCTCGCGGTTCCAAAGAAAGATCGGCTAGCAAGTCTCGCAATTCCCTTTGAACGGTTTCGTCGTTTGAATTGAATACACGACCACTCCTAGTACGCATAAACAAAAACAAACAACGCGTCACGAGCACCCGCTAACAAACGAGCGAAAAATCAAATTAACTACCAAATATATATACACTCACAAAAACAAAAGAAATTAAGAGAAACACGGAAACAAAAATGAATAGCGCACAATCGTAATCCTAAACCTTCCCCGGCAACGGCGCCATTTTGAAGTTGAAGTTTTTACCGGAGTAGAATCAAATGATTCGAACACCGGGTCGTGTTCTCAAGGAAGGTTAGCCGGATACAATCGCACAATATTCAATCTCACGGAAATATAAATTACACCTAAACACTCTAATCCAAATTTTCAAGGGTTTTTGATATTGACGAGAAAAATAACTACTAACGAGATTAACACTAATAACGCAAATGGACAATTTAAACACAAGTACGGTTCAACGATGACGAACGAGCTAGGGTATCGGGGATAATCGTCTCCGGTTCGATCTCACTTCAATAACATATAGATACTCGGTTAAAAGCCTCGACTCATATACTCATTTAACATTATAATCATCATAGCATTTCGCGGTAGATAAAATTACACATAAACGAGCAATCAACCTCAACAAATAACACATAGACAACACGTTTCCGGTTATGCCTACTCTAAACGAGCCAAATTCCACCGACTTCTCCCCTCTCGGTTTTGAAGTCGATTAACTCGATTGCAATGGTGATCAAGCATTCAATCATTATTATTAATAAAACTCGAAAAGATTGAGTACACTACAAACATATCAACGAGATTAAACCGGAACAATTATCCCCTTCCCCTAGCAATTAACTTAGCTACTCATGGCAAGATAAACACAAGAATTCAACATACCACAAGCATTCATTCTCATNGC